GAAGCTCTCATAAAAATTATGTTATTAATATTCCATGAGAATAATGAGGCAAATGTCCTGCAGCAAAGTCTTTTTCTCTTCATGTGATTCTTTCTCTGAAGGGTGTGTGCTTAATGCTTCTCTGAAAAACATACTCAAGGATACGATTTCTTTACTAAAACCACACAAAGGGTAAAGAATATTTGGGGTAAAACAACACCTTCAAATTACTAAAGTGATAAACAATAGTTATTTTTAACCCCTGAATAAATCTCTATGTTGTGGCTGCCCATTTTGACAAAAAAATGTAGACAAATCCAGCTTCTTTTTTTAATACCAGTGCCACAACTAGTAACATTATTGGTAATCAAAACATTGGTTTTCTTCATATTTTGTTTTTTTCAGCAGCTTACAGTATTTTTTAATTAGTTATGCATGATGTCCTTGTTAGATTGAAACATATGTAAATATGACATGACACAGATGCCGATTTCTCTAAACCACTCTTCAACATGGGCAAGACAAGAGAACAAGTCATTAAAGTCACACAGACTTTAATGACAATCTTCCTAGGTCAGTAAATGGCTTCAGTAAGATCACCACTCACCCAACTTGTCCAAGAATTTGCTGTTAGAGAGCCTGAACAGATGACCCCAAAAAAATGTAACTCCAGCATTTTTTTTTAACTTTCATTTTTGGAAACTCATCCTTATGAGCGTTTCTAATGTGTGTGGTAAAAAAAAAAAACTTTGATGTGCAACCCCCTTCTATCTTAACTCATTGTTAGTAATCTGTTGGTTTGCATTACATATGTATTGTATATAAAATCAAATTTAAACATACTACGAATAGGATTGTGACGCTACATTAGACGATTTGCTGTGCTGGGTGCTCTTGTGGCCCTGCAGTGCTCCTGCTGAGTTGATAATGACTGACCCGTGGCGCTTTTACAGAAACATTAGTCTTTGACTGCCTCAGCCAAAAGTTGATTATGGCTCCTACATTTTTACCACCCAGAGCAATCGCCTTGGCACCGGATAAAAATAGTCAACTCTCTCATACTGAAATCCACACTGCCACTTAGGAGGAAGGAGAAGAAAAAAAAAATAACAAAACAGAAATGTTAGCATAACAGGACAATCAGGGGTTGGCAGAGAGGAAGATGGGAATAGAAGCTGCAGAAATGAAGATCGATATCTGCTGTGGAAAGCACAGCACGTAATAAAGGGAACGCAGAGGGGAGTAGAGGCTGTTACACCCCGAAACAGATGTGAAGAGTAGTTCGCTTTTATTCTGTTTTATCATTTTTTTTCCCTCCATTTCTAAATAATTAAATCTCGGAAAAGAAAAACTCTGACACACCCCAGACGTTCAATAACAAGGGAGAGATTGGTCATCGTGTGTATAAAGAACTTTAAACTCTCTTCTTGTTTTCTTATTTACTCATTACCGCTTTATAACTTAAGGCTTGTCTACTGACCAGTCTTTATTCTCTTGAGTGTGTCTGCACACATCCAGCAGTACCAGCAGGCTACCTGACTCCCATAACCTTATTAATGTTTCCACTCTGGCAGATTACAGAAATGAGATTTACTGATATTTTTAGCCAAGGACTCTCTGCTACAACGCGTTTAAAAAAAACGCCTTGAAACAAATAGATCAGAGTCACATATTAGTAGGACTGTAGGATAATATCGATATCGCGATATATATCGATATTTTCCTTCCTAGAAAAAAAATCGATATTCATCCGCAAGTATCGTAACATCCAACTGTCATCTTGCTCACTCACTGCTTGCTTCGCCGGGAGAGTGATTAGGTCATCAGGCTTAGAGTGATTCCTTCAGATGTTAAGTGTCAAGGTTAAAAAGGTATCAAACTATTCAGAGCAGGGTGCTTGGTGCACTTTATTTACTTTATAAATCCATGTAAGCTACAGTTTGTACTGTTTCAATTAAAAGAAACATGTTTTCTCACCACTTCTTTGATTCTTTTTGTCCAGCTGTCGACTTTAAGTCTGTGTCCATGTCCAAAAGTGTATTGAATTGTATCGTTTGATGAATATTGCAATATATATCGTATCGTGGACAGAATATCATGTACCGTATCGTATCGTAAGATTACTGTATCACTACAGCCCTACATATTAGGTCCCAAGCTAAGTTGTTTTCAGTCACAAGTAATGCTTCCCTTGCCACTGAAGCAAAATGAATTCACTTCCTAAACTTCCTACTATACACAATAGCCATGGGCAGGCCGGACGACAGTCCCCAAAGAAGTCCTAACTACACTCCAGAGCAGAGATGCACACAAAAACACAGCTCTGTGGTCAACAAATCTAAGCAAGTGAGGACCAGTAAAAAGACACATTTGTTCAATTTTATTATGCTGCACATCGTCATCATAATCATCATCATGAGATTTCCAGTTTTCAGGGAAAACAAGCGACAGACATGAAGCTTTACAGAGGGAAAATAATTGACATTTGTTCTGTATGCTAGCTGGGATTCAGTGTAACTGGGTAATGGCCACATAGGCTGAGGTCAGGCTGCTTCCTCTTTGAGACTGCAGCTACAGTCCTGTGACACTGACACAGTTTTCCTTTTAAATGCGGAGGCCTTCGGAGCAAACCGGCCGGCCAGCAGCCACATTTACACAGAGGGTTCTCAGGAGGAGGGAAAAGGCAGAGCAAAAGAGAATATATAAAGGAGAGAGCAGCTGAAGCAGCCTGCATGGTAGCGTATGCACCAGGAAGGTTTTGTAGTTTCAAAACAAAGTTTTCTGTCATACCATGCCAATAGTTCAAACTTATTTTGTAGAAACGTAAGACAGAGTGACGAGAGATCTCACTGGATTAGGGTTCCTACAAGTTTCAGTGAATTATTTTTGAAGCTTTTACATCTTTTTCAGAGCTTTTTTAAACATATGCATAAACTGCCACAAAATAACAACATTTAATTGTTTTAAAAACTATATTTAACTTATAAATTTGAGCAAGTTCCCTACAACTATAAACTTATTTGTGGAGAAACCAGTCTATGTGTGCATTATTTTTTAGCTTATGTAAAATATTCGAATAAAAATGCCTCATAGGAGGATGATATAGATTGGGTAGTTGTGTAATAGTCATATTTGACACGCTGTTGGCTGGTGTTTGCAAAACAACCTATCCAAGAGCAGAATTAATTTCCTTGCCTCTGATTGGTTGTACCCAAACCAAGACAAACACTGTGAATGTTAGCTTCTACAGTTTCCACTGTGCATATCAGGTAAATTTGATGTTAGTACTAAAAACAAAAAAAAAGGAAGTTCTAAATATTTGTATCTTTTTTATGTTATTTCATATTTTACCTAAATTAAAGCAAAAATAATAAATAAGTGTTAAATCACACTAAAAAAAAACTCCAGCTGGGAACAGTAATAATTGTAAATTTAAGTACCATTCTTCAGACTATCTATGTCTGAGATATTTGGTGACATTTTCTGTTTAATGCAACGTGTAAGATTTTTAAAAATGTAAAGAGACTAAACAAATGTCCACAAAGATTGAAAATGCTAAAACTAACTTTTTCCAAGAAGAAGAAGAAAAAAAAAACTCTGTTGTGGAAATGAAATAATGAACAAATTTTTTTTCACTAGCTGGGTAGACTACACACTGTCCAGATCCCATCTTTGCTGTGAAGTCTAAGAGGAATTTAATTTCTTGTTTAATTACTGTAAGTCACACTGACATCATAACATTCACCAATATCACTGCATTTGTCTACCTAAAATGTGCCACTCAATTAATATGTTGTAGTAGTTTAGCAGCTCTATGAAAAGGATTGCTTTTCTTTTTTTTAACCAATAGCTATGAGGCCATATTATAGATTTTTCTTTGAATTCTAGTTTGATATCCTGAAACAGTGATATTTTTATCGTGCTGGAGAATCTGATACCGGCCCAAACTGGCTCACAGCCAAAACATTTGAAACCTTGAAGCACAGGGGTGAGAAGTATTCAAACTCTCTGATATGAATACAGCTCTGAACATAATATGCAAACAGCTAACTTTAATGACAGGCATTTAATTGATTTTTCTTTTTACACGTTTTATTATCTGCACAAAATTCACAACAATGTGAAAGAAACTATAACTAAAAGCATATTTATTAGGACAGCAATACAGTAAAATAATCAATTATTACAATTAATTACCAAAGTAGTTTGTTTTATTTAGTTTATTTATTTTTGGAGATGTGACGATGGCTGCAAAAAAAACTAACTGAACACAAAGAGAGGGATGTATGTAGGCCATCTACATCTGCCCCACGAAAACAAAGCCACTACATTAGAGGAGGAGGAGGGGCTCCGACATCGGGACACATTCTGCGATTTAGTTCGTTCATATTGAAAGAACTAATAAGATTTCCCCTAGTAATGCACATTGAAAGCATACAGACTCGAAGACAGCTATCTGGTTGCAAAAACATAAACAAAGCGATCCATGTGAACGACCTTCATTGACGTGCATCTCGTCTCGGCGACCCTCCGAGCGCCTTCTGAAGGATGTAACTCGGGAAAACAGTGGTTGAAGAGGTTGAAGATTATAATATCAGAATAAAAGAAACGACAGAAAATAATTGTGTTTGTAAGAAGGGGGGGGGGGGGGGAGACTGGATCGCTTAACAAAGGTGGAGCAGGGAGCCATCCAGCCAGTTAGCCGACAGGGAGTCAGACCAGCAGCATTTTTAAAGGATATTTCTCAAGCTTCCTAATTATATTCGAGCACCCATTTCCACAAAGCTTTAAAGTAAGTAAGTTTACAGCGTGTCAACTCCGGGAATTTTCAACTGACACGGAGAATCCTCTGAAATCAGGAGATGTGCAGAAGAAAAGCTGAAAATCGACTCTTTCTCCCTTTTTTCCCTTCTCGGTCGTAAACTCCACGTGAGTAACGGTAAACTTTAAAGCTAAAAGCCATTTTAAAGCTGTTTATTGTACTGTTTTCTGAGTAAAAGTCAAGTCTACGCTTCACTTACCCTTTTCCTTTAGCTGCTAGTCGCTGTTGAAGGTGTGTGTAGAGCCCAGCCCTGAGTGCGCTGGCCTTCTCTTCCTCCGTTGCTCAGCAATAAGCTACTCCCCTGAAAATAACGGCGGGCGCATCAAAATGCAGGAGAGACTAAACACTGTTTCCGGTCACTACTTTCAAAATAAAACCTAAAAGGAAATAATAGAGTTATCAATCTGCACAATGCCCCCTTTTTCTCCCGTTTTTTACTCTGGTGTTGCCATTGCACCCAAACATTAGAAAATACACTTTTATTCTTTTCACAAATAGGAAAAAGATTTCATAAAGCTCAACTAAATTTCAAAGAATATGTTTTGTGTATAATAACCTACTTTGGGTTTAATTTGTATAAGTATTTTATATTTTGAGGCAGAGATAGCTAGATGCAGCCCAGACTCTTGAAGAAAGAGTAATCCTTAAATTTAACACTGAATTGGAACTTGTAAATAAGATACCAACTTCAGTCTGATTTATTCAGCACTATGCTCCTTACGCTGTCCACAAAAAGATGATTGGGGGTGGGCGGGCTCCACTTTCATCAAATAAACATGCAAATAAACAACAGAAAGGTTGATTAAGGTGCAGCTGATCAATGTATTACCATTGCACCATTGACAGAGGCAAGTGGCTCACATGAAGAATATTCTTCATAGCAATATTGCTATTTTTGACATTTAATTTGTCATCTCATCATTCCAATGAAATCGGTATATCTTGTCTGAAATCTCCTTTAATCCTACGTTTTTACATTGTTTTGCACTTCAAATACATTTTTGGCTTTGATAAGGCAGAATGTAAACGTACAGAATGTAAACATACAGTATCAATAAAGTAATGCAACCCGCAATACAATAAAATAAAAATAAAAATTCCTTTCTCACCCTCCGCGGGTGGTCTCTCTATCTCATCCTCTGAGCTCTGGT